CTGCAACAGACGTACTTAAGGAATATTAGTTACTGTCCCTTGGCTTTACAAATACTCATTTCTCTGCCTGTCTCCTCACCATGTCCATGCGGACTCCAGATCAGGCATTTCACATTAAAGTGCCCCAAACCGAACTCCTGGTCTTTCCCTGTAAACTGATTGTTTTTCCATCCTTCATCTCCAAATGCAGTTGCACACTCTAGCCCCCAGGGGTCACCTGTGATCCCCATCATTGTCTCATCCTGGAGACTATCACCAGAACCTCCAACGACTTAACCTTCAAAATGTATCCCTGATAGGATGGCCTCTTCCACCTCTGCTGACCCACCCGGTCTGAGCCAACAACGCATCTCCTGGATGATCAGTCTGCTCCATGGCTTCCTGCCTTCCTCTTCCTCTCAGAAGGGCAGCCAGGATGATCCACTGAAAACACAGATCATGTGACCCTGCTCAAGGCCGGACCTTGGCTCCTCATATCACCCAAGGGAAAGGCAAAATCCTTGAAGGCCCTACAAAGGAGACCCGTTATCGGACCTGGTCAATCCTGCCCATTCCTGGGCTCCCTCTGCTCTCTTCTGATCTCCATTCTATTCCCCAAACAAGCAGGTCACACAACTTCTGGAACTTCAGCCTGCTCTTCCATGTGCCCAGCCCACGATTCCACTCTTCCTTCATACCTGGCGTACTCGCTTTCTTAAGGTTTTTGCTTCAATGCCACCTCTCTTGTAAAACCTTCCATTCCCACCCTACCTGAATATTAAAACAACACACACGTCTGCACACACGGGCACACGGGCATCCTCATCTCCTTCCTCTAATTTCCTCAAGAGAACCTGTCACGGTCTACTGTACTATTTCACTTTGTTCTGTTGTGTATCTTCCCCACTCATATATACACTCATACGGGGTGGGGATTGGGCTTGTTTTAGTGTTTTTTTTCATAAATTATTTTTTTAATCTTTATTGTTGAAAGTATTATATATGTCTCCTTTCCCCCCCATTGACCTCTTCCAGCCCGCTCCCACCCCCTGCCCCAGGCCTTCACCCCCCTATTGTCCGTATGCACGGGCTCTGCATATATACATACAAGTTCATTGGTGGACATCTTCCCCCATACCCATTCTCCCCTGCCTTCCTCTGAGGTTCAACAGTCTCCCCGACGCTTCTATGTCCCTGGATCTATTTTTGTTTATTTTGTTCATTAGATTCCACATATGAGTGAGATCACGTGATACTTGTTTTTCTCCGACTGGCTTATTTCGGGCCTGTTTTATTCTTGCACCATCACCAATAGTCAGGAAGCCAGTAAGCTCGGTCAATAGGACCGAACGGGCAGCTCCTAATTCCATGGCATGCCTGAGTCTTTCTGCTAAGAATTAGTGGCTCTGAAAATCCCTCCATGGGTTGGAGCCGGCTCCCTAAGGATGCAGGCTGCTGATGGGGGGAGGGAGGCGTTTGACACTTGGGTGAAGCAGAGGGTCAGGGAGCCTGTGGACACCCCAGGAGGCACCCCCAAAGCTGCCGTGGTAGAGGCTGAGAATGGGAGTAAGCCCCTATAAATGGCTTCTTACTGGACTCTCCACAGAATGACCTAGGAAAGGGGGGGTTTCACGGCACCAGTAAGGCGTCAAGGGCGTCCGTGACCTGCACATAGCAGCACGGCAGCCCAGACAGCAAGCTGTTCCGCAGCAGAGATGAACTGACTCGGCCTAATTGCATCAATGCCACTCAGCGTGTTTACAGCGAAGGATGACAAGGGCCATCGCCGTCACGAGAGGGCAAGTCTCCGTCTTGGATCGGAACGTTCTGTGTTTGTGGGTCTGTCCTAACGGAATCTTCCGGGACGTGACCTCGCTTCTCATTGGTCCAGTTTAGAAAAACAAGAACAAAACAAAAAGCAAAAACCCCAAACTTGTACAAAAGACTGCCATATGGAGGAAAAAAGAGCTCACTTGTCTTCTTTTCACCTCCGTGTTTTCCCAGAAGTGAGGGTGAGCCTGGCAAAACCCCAGATGTTTCTATCCTCCGCGGCTGCCGACAGACAGAAATGTAACAAAGGCGGCCTTCTCTGTGAGCTCCGGGAAGGCGCGGGCCGCGGTGCACAGTTTTAGGCAAGAACGCCATCTGATATGTTACTCTGTGCGGTGGGGCCTAACAAATGCTGGAAATAAACCCGAGAAAGAATGAACAAACACAATGCAGCCCTGCCCGTCCAGACCTTGGCCCACATGCTCTGCTCGGCCCAGAAACGGCCTTGAATCGCGGAGTCCAAACCCCGGACCAGCTCTGGGGGCAGCAGGAGCCTTGAGAGGCCTGCCTTCCACGGATGATACCAGGACTTAGAGCCATGGGGACAGGTGGGTGGTTGTGGCTGCAGAACCCACCTGCTCTCTGGCAGGTCCCAGCCCGGCCAGAAGAAATGTGCCTTCCTAGCCGGACTAAGTTACCCCTATTACCCCAGGGAGACTTGCAGCCATGACTACAGACTCGGGTTTAATTTCTCAGGAGCCGACTCTGACATGGGGTTCGAATGTGGGAGATTAATTTAGGAAGAGCCTTTGGGAGCAGCGCTGTGAGCGCCAAGGGAAGAAAGCAGGGCTTTCTCCCTGGGCAGAGGGAGAAATCCAGCCACAAGGCAGTCCCAAGGGAGGGCGACAGCTGCTCCTGCAAGAGTCTACACTCATCAGTCACTGTTTGATATGGGTGCTCCAGGAAGGGGGTGTGGCCACAGGCAGCTGCCTCTCCCCACCCGAGGCCACCTCTAAACAAGGTTGATGGCTAAGGGCCATCTGCAGGTGGCATTCTCAGCTCAAAGAGGAATGTGGGCATCTAATGAACACCATCACTACCCCTATCCGGCAGGATGGCACCCAATGCCCATCGCCTCCTCTGTGATGCCCTCCCAGCTGCCTTCTCTGACCCCTTCAGGAGAAGGGGTAGTTCTCACTCCCGTCCCTGTCCACACACCGCCTCACACCCAGCAGGGAGGAAGGAAGTGCCTGTTGAATAACACATCACTAAATACGGAAAATATGAATAAAATATCATCTCATTATCCGAATACCTGCCCCCAAGGAGTTCAATTAGATCAGAAAAACAAGCAGAAATTATTGGGGAACTCGCATTCGGAAGCCAACACCCAGGTGCTTTCTGGTCTCAGCTCTGGGCCTCCTCCAGGCTTCGGCTGACTTGTGAAATCGGAGAGACCCACGCATTCTGTGAGGCCGTTAGGAAGCTGAGGCACACTCAGCGTCAGCACTGTTGCTAAATGATGTCTTTATTGGTGTCCTTATTGACATGGGTGGGAAAGTACGTTTGATCCTGGCAAGGGAACGAGTGTGAGGGTCAGAGTGTCTCCCAGGTGACACGCTGGGGACTTTTTCTCAATGAGCCCAGAGCTAAGAGACTCCAGGAAGAAAGCAAGCAGAGGCCAGAGCAGGTGAGGAATTGTACTCTCTGTTCCGTGAGTGGAAACAGAAACCAACTGGAATATCCTGTGATTTATGAAAATGCTGTCATTTAAAATCACTAAGTGACATCTCACCTTCACAGGATACGGAATTATAGAAGCGGGAAGAGGAATGTTAAACCCAGAAGCCAGAGTGCAAGTAAAATAATAATAATAATAATAATAATAATAATAATAAAGAAAGAAAAAGATCTCATTGTCAAATTTCCCTCTTGTGGTATTCGTCTAATACATAGAAGAATTTTTAAATATCGCAATTTAAGGACAACATCCGGGAGAAGAATGTTAACGTAACAGCCCGGGATTCGTGCTAACCTGTCACTGCTCTCAGTTACGCACACCTACTGGGCTCCCGATTTCCCACCGGATACCCTCACATACACTGAGGCAGGGGCAAAAGCTACAACCATCAATAATAAGAAATGAACAGCTTGAAGAAACATCTTGTAAACGTACATACCCCTTTAAAATAACAAACCGCAACAGGAATGAAAGCACAAGCCATAAGAACACTTCCAAACCTTCCCTAATCAATACGCACCTCCACCACCTCCCAGGCTTTCTCTGCAATCAAAGGCTCGTCTGACAAAAAGAGAAACCCGATAAATGCGCGTCTCCGCACAGGTAAGCCAGCACTCCACTACCCGCATACAAATAAATATACACAGTGGATACCGATCTCACACAAAGCACCTCCACGGGGTTCTTCCCGTGAACACAGGCCTGTTCTCTTCATTCACTAAAGAAATGCAAATTCCAGTTCGAGGTTTTGCGAAGGCCAAGAGACCTGCTCCTCAAGCGAATCTGTGATTCCTTATCCATTTCACGAACATGACCTCATGAAGAGTGCACCTCGCATTTTTTAAAACGGCAATTACTATTCCTGGCATGCCGACACCTTCAAAGACAGAAGAGAGAAACGGGCCGCAGTTAATTACCTTTGAACTTGTGGAACACGGCCCACAGCTCTGCGATGTCCGTGGCGAAGGTGATGTCTGTGTCAAGGACGATGACCCTCTCCAAGTTGGCGGGGAGAGTCTTGGTCAGGACCAGCTTCATCAGGCCGTAAATCCCCGAGTAATGTTTGTTGGGGATCCAGGAAACCTCAGACTACACCAGGTGGCGGCGAAGCGAGGGAGAAGGAGAAAGAAAAAGAAAAAAATCACTACATTAATTTGTTTTGCATAAACATTATAAATAGTGCCTGGTACATAAAAAGCACCCAATACAAATTTGTGGAATAAATGAATGACTCTTCAAGATTTGTTCATGTAATGTGCAGTGTGGCATGTGGAATTTGGGGGGAAGAAAATGTATCTGAATCAAGGGAGAGGAAAAGCAGTATTTATAAAATAACTATTAGGTGTAAACACTATGCTCAGATTTTAAAAATAACATTTTTGCTATTACAGAAATTGGGTAGGCTCAGGGGAGAAAATAAGAATATGCACAAAAGAAGAACGAAAATTACAAAAATTGAATCAGATATATACTAGCAAACAGTAGCTAATTTTTTTCGAGGTAGATGTATTTCTTTCAATCACTAAAGATTACTACTTAGTGGTATTATTACAGCTTATGCTTATCTCTTTTTTGAAGCAATAATTAAACCAATTAATGTTGCTTCCTTCTCCTGGTTTTCACACAAACACAGGAAGAAAAACTGGTCATCATTGATGCAACACTCTTCACTGGGTAACAAGATGCAAGCATGTGCGCACGCATACACACTCACACACACACACACACACACACACACACACGTGCCAAATGAGCTCATGGAGGGTCATCCCTGAAATCCTCACCTGCTGTAACAACTCATGCCCTATAGGTGGGTAGAGTCGAATGCAAGACACACAGCTTGGTACCACCTGGAACCCAAAGTCAAGGCTAAAAACAGTACATTAACTCCAGTGTGATGACAGTTCTCAAAGGAACTGGTCCGCTAGGGAGGTCACAGTGGGTGGGGGCCCCTCCGTGCCTTGCAGCCGGGAGGAGTCTGCTTAGGAGCCAAAGCACACTTCTTATTTCCATGAAGGTAAGGCTTGTAATGCAACTCTTCAGTGATAAACAGGGCCACCTTCGCAAGAGTCCACAAAATACTCATCCCTTTTGTCCTTATCATTCCACTGTGTGGACACAGTTCTGAAAAATAGAGCCAAGTTGAACAACGAGAAACTGAACGCATATCATTCAATCTACCACTGATGGAAGTGCTGGGACACAAAGACCCCCAGTGAATAAGCCCTAACTTCTTCCTGATGCCCCTCATTGCAGGTATTCAGGTGGCCACGCCTCTTTACCTGCTTCCCATGGGAGGTGGGGGAGGGGTCTCTGGAAGATAGTCCAGCAGGAAACCATGGGTTCTGGAGTCAGGCACACATGGACCCAGATTCTGGCCTTGTCACTTAACCGCAAGGTCAACTGGGACACGACTGGCCTTTCTGAGTGTCTGCCAGTTATAAAAGGCAGTTACTTCTAAATGCTTGCACTGTTCCAGACACGGTGTGGGCGGAAGCAGCACAGTCACC